GATTTATGACTGATCCAACGTCCACATCTTTTTATCATCTCTGTGGGGAACAATACATAAAAACAAGGTTTTTCTCCGAACACTTGGGTGTGAAAAGCTCTGTGCGACGTGCATCAGGAGGGAGGAGGAAATGATCCTGCAACCCGACGAAACTTTTCTACAGAGGAGGGGGAAATTTTCTGAGGATTTATTCTCTCTATACGTGTTTTAAAACGCTATATTTCTTCATTTGTTTTCAGAATATTTTGAATAAACGGCTCTATAAAAAACTAAAGAAATGGTTTACCTGCCCTAATATGGGTTTTGCCCTGGGCAGTCGGCCAAAAGGATTTGTCGAACCCTGCTCACAGGAACCTGGTCACACGCAGGGTCAGTGTTGGTGATTCTTGCTGTAATCTATAAAAGTAATTATTGATAAGGTAACCATGCTGTGGCTTCACCTGTCGCGTTTTCTTTTAAAGAAAGGAAAAGAAGCTTACAAAGCTGTCGCAACGGTGCTACGTGGTTTAAAAAAAGCAGAGTTTTCATTGTGCATCTGGCTGAGTTATAGTCGTGCTTTGGTCCGCACACGTGCGCTCATCTTTCTATCTTTGTGAGGACCACACACAGCGGTCAGCCTCGCTCTGCGCAGTCCCCCCACCCCACCAAGTTTGGCGAGAGGTGGATATGGAGGGACGCAAAAAATAGCTCTCGACTTGATCTGGCCTTATTTAAATAAAAATGACTACATGCCGTGAAATTCTTAGAGGGGCGCCCCTCCATGCCTGTACAATGGTAGGGGAAACACTGGTATTTACAACCACCCTGATGATAAATGTTGGTCTGGGTAGAATACAAATTTAATTACTGGGGTTGGGATTTTAGAAAAGTACATAGCTTTTAGTATAGCTTTGTGTTGACATAATTATTATTTTTTAATACATTAAAGGGTTGTTTTTGTTTTATTGATCATTTTATGATCAGATGGGGGAGGTGTAATGGAAATAATACTTTTTGGTTTATGCCAATAATTCATGACATACTTTAATGACCCAGTTTTTCATGACATGCTATCAATAGAATGATTAAAGTCAGAACATTTGCTAACAGTCATTCTTAGATATCACTTGTGTTTATCGTTGTGTTTTCCCTTGATCCAGCATTTCCTTAGAATGAAATCTTTCTTTATTAAAGATGACATAATGGTGTTTGTTAAACAGTATGTATATGAGGCCTCAACTGCTTCAAAAAGGTCAGGGAGCAGGAGTGGGAAGAAGGAGCAGAGAGCAGGGGGACAGTCTGATGGCTCGATGTCGTTCTGTGTTTCCTGTTGTTGCAATAAAACTCAGCTGATCATTCCATGGAGTRCCTTTATTCTTGGACCAGGTATTTCTGTTTTTGTTAAATAAATATTTCCATGACAGATCTAAACGCTTCTGACAGATTATCATCAGTAACACGACACCTCCACCGCTCCAAATGTTGGTTAAATGAGCGGCTGAATATATGAGCAGAACAATGTCTGAATGACGTCCTCCAAAAAAAACCAAAACAAATATCAGCTGTTTTCTTCAGGGACACATCGAGCGATCGGTCTGAACYGGTATCAGCTGGTTTTCATCTTGATCAGCTAAAATCAGAACCCATATGAACAAATTTTTACAAATCCAATTTTTTTCTGGTCAGTTCTGAGAAATCCAACCTTTTCTTTGGTCCATGAACACACCATCACAACAACACTGGAACAAGCATCTGGTTTATCAAACACTAAAGTTTCACTTCAAACCAGTGAAACAACACTTTTTTAAAATAAAAACAGTAATATTTATGTTTTTGTAAACACAGTAATACTTAGTTAATTTCAAAAATATATACAAAACAAAACAAAACTGATAAAAAGTGATAACAAAGTTTACAAAATAAACATATCTGAAAATGAATGGGAAGAAGTAAAAACATATTTAACCCCACCCTTATCTGAAGCTTATTAAAAAATAATGGTAAATTCTTAATAATGTTAAWAATGTATTACAGCAGCAGGAGGGACTCACCACTTTGCGGGACTTGTCTCTGGCCTCGTCCCGGTGGTCCTGGGGGGACAGACCAGGTGGAGAGGAGCGACTGTGTGCAGGGAGCGGCCTCGGTGACGGACGCTCTGTTCTGGTTCTGTCAGACTCAAAGAAAGGGGCGGAGCCTGCCTCGGTTCTGGTCGCAGGTGAGTGGCCGTGGTGCCGGTTGGACTCCCGGCTGCTTTTTTTCGAGCTGCCTTTGGAGGGCGTGTCGGAGTCGTCCTCGGGCCGGGCCCCGCCCTTCCCCTGACCCGCTCCACGCAACTTGGCCTTCCGATCCAGAAGACTGTCCAGGAATGAGGGATCGTAGTCCTTTTCTCCAGCAGAACCCGGAGCTGGACTCCTGGTGGGAGGAGGTGGGACAGTTCCCTCTCTGTCCTCCTTCCTTTTAGGAGACGGTAAAGGACTTATGTCCTGTCTGTGTCTCCCAGTCTGTCTGTGTCCATCCTCACTGTTGTCCTCAGGATCACTGTTGTAATAGTGCTGAGAAGGTCCGTTTCTGTAGGACGGGTACCGACTGAACTCCAGCAGCTCCACCTCGTAGTCCACCTGTTCTTCATCCCTGCGTTCTGCTCCTCTTCCTCCTCTCTGCCTGTAAGAAGAGGCGAACTCCTCCAGCTCATCCAGCGAGCCCGTCTGTCCGGAGCAGCGGTACKTCTTCCTGTGCAGATGTTCTGATCGAGGGTTCCACCTGTGGAACAGCACAGACGTTCACCTCTTGTTCTGTGTGACAGAACCAGAGAACAAATGATCCGTACCTGTGGGGTTTGTCCTCCTCCTCAGAGTTCTGCTGACGCTGAGTCCGACCGGTTCTGTGTGGCGGCGGGTCGTCACTGTACCGCCGTGGGAGCAGAGGCACGTCTTGTGGGTCACGAGGGTCCGAGTCAGGGTCGAGACGGTAACGATGAGGCGATGGGGGTTTTTTATGGGGACGCTGCAGATCTGGACTGCGGTTCTCATGGAGAGCCTGCGGCTCGGGTCGAGAGTCCTGGTCGGGGATGGCGGGCAGAGCTTTCTTCTGGACGGTCCGGTAAGACTGACGGAACCCGTTTTCTCCTTGGTGGAGGGAGCTGAGCTCTGAGGGGCTACAGGCTGCAGGAGGAGAACACAACAAGATGACTGATGACATCATTCAGACCCCCCCACAACAAGATGACTGATGACATCATTCAGACCCCCCCACAACAAGATGACTGATGACATCATTCAGACCCCCCAACAACAAGCTGACTGATGACATCATTCAGACCCCCCCACAACAAGATGACTGATGACATCATTCAGACCCCCCAACAACAAGATGACTGATGACATCATTCAGACCCCCCCACAACAAGCTGACTGATGACATCATTCAGACCCCCCCACAACAAGCTGACTGATGACATCATTCAGACCCCCCCACAACAAGCTGAC